GAGGCAGCTGGCTGCAATTTTTCGGATCCTCAGGAAAGTACGATTTTGTGTTGAGCAGCTGCCACAAACACTTAAGAGGGAGCTGTTACTAACAGTAATGACTGAGGGATTAATATTAGAAAGCAGATGTGTCAGACTGTGGAGTCTGTTTAAAGATGTGCTCCCTGTCAATAAGACCTTGCTGAAGGGCTCTTGGCAGCTGTCTAGCCCTGCAGGATCTCTGAATCTCAATGAGATAACATGTGTGAGAGGAAAGAGGGCTAGTGTTGAAATTATCAGAATTGGCACACTTCAACCAAAGCTGCTGGAGCTGAAAGATTTTTGTGTTTTCTCCATGGTTTTGCTTTGTGAGTGACTTATTAAGAAATGAGCGTGGCAGAATGAAAAACAGGGAGCAAGAGTGAGTAAGAAACAGTATTTGGACGGAGGGAAACATTAGGAAGGAAGGTAGAGATACTGTGGTGAGGAGGTGGATGTGCTCTGAGGGGCCTTGTGTCTTTGAACCTGGGGGAGAACCTATAACTGGACCCTACAAAGAAAGATAGTTAATCATCTCTAGGTAAAATACAAGTGAGATCAGGATAAAGAAAACTGTAAAGTACGATTGCAGTAGTACAAAAGGCAAGGAGTGGGGCATAAGTTCAGGCTGAGGGAATCTCAAGAGAACAAACACCAAGCCACGTGACTGGCAAAACTTGGTATTATGAATATGGGACAGCATCCTCTGACTACTCTGTTCCTAAGAACTGTGCCTGGTGAGGGAATTCAGGTGGGAAAGGAATTGTCTGAGCATGTTTGGGATGTCTGCTTAGTGCTTTCAGAATCAAATTCCCTCCACATCAGAAGAAAGTTTTGTAATTACAAACTCTTGCACAGGCAGAACTTAAAAAAATCAACAAGTACTAAAATATTTAGTAATATTAGAACATTTAATAATACAAATCACCATTAAAGTTACCAGGCTGTATGCATGCAGTTGCTATTGAATGGAAGATAGAGGCAAACGGAAAGTAAATGCTAACTGAAACATTTGTATTTTGTTAAACAAATCTAATGAATATTATTGAAGCTTTTCTTATAAATAAGACATTCGACATTCTCATGCTTCTGAAAAATCCTCTGCTTTTTACCTGATTGCTCATTCAGTGGGAAGGGATTCCACTGCCAGTTTTCCAATTTGCCATCCTAATAAAGTCATCTAACACCACAGAGTTTAACCCCCAGCTTCTCTTTAGTTTGCTTTGTTTAGTTTAATGAGTGGTCATCTTGGCCACCGAGTTCAGATCAACAGTGCAGGAAACAGAAGGCTTGAAAGTGTTGAGCCAAAGCAGAGACCAGCAGATCAGATAGAACTCAACCAGGACTCCCTGAATTGCTGGCTATTGCTGCTGGCACAGAGTATTGCCTGGGACTGCACATGGGGCTTACTAGTTAAGCAACATTATTTAAGACAACTTTGCAGGCCTTTTAAGCCTTTGGCGTCTTAGTGATCTAGAGGCATAGAGTTATAAGGATTTCCATGGCCATTTCAATCTATGGAATTTCTTCAGAAGTTATCAAATAAAAGTAAATTTTTTGCTAGTGTGCTTTGTAATCTGAGTAATTACAGAGGTTTTAGCTGGAGATGCCAAACATCCTTGATTTTATAGTCTGTATGTTTCCCCATTTTTTGTCATCCATTAGGGATAGCTTTAGTACCAAGAAGGGAAAGCAGAATCGGGACCCAAGGTGTAGAAAAGTTGGGATTGACCACAATAGCACATTTTGGTTCTTGATGACCTAGATGTAACTTGAGATTAAACATTGCTGGGCAAGGCATGAAGAGTAAGAAGCATAAAAAAACCTGTCTGCTCACTTCAAGATTCATATGATTTCTTCTGCCACTGCTATTATGTTTCACATCTCCCTTGATTTACACCAACGTGAGAGGAAGTTCACATATTCTGTTGCTTGCTTTGTGGATTTCTCTTAAGGTACGAATGACATCTGCTCAAGTCGGTGCAACTTTTCTGTAAAATTTGGAGAACAGAGTCTGGAGAGTTGACACTGCACTGAATAGGACATGTTTTCTCCTCCAGTTATTCTGGAGCTTGGATTAGAATGGACCCGGATTTCTCTGTGTCACCAAAAGCACTTAGTGCAGATGCCAAGTCTTGTAAAATATGAAATGATCGGGCAACAGCTCCCAGGGTGTGTGATGTGGGGAGGAGAGTTATGCCTCAGATATATTTATTGAGTTTCAATTTAAGAGTGTGCCATGATGAAATAATCTGCTAGGTATTCCCCTGTGTCAGCATGGACACTAAGGAGATGAAAATAACTGGATTCAATGTAGATGCTTTTTATGTTTGTGATGCTCCTTCATTCCCTAGGAGATGACATTGCCTGTGTGCATTGCTAGGGTATTTGGCTTGACAGCAGACCTGTAGCTTCCAGTGACTGTGGCCTCGGGAGTCTTGTAGTTGAGCAGTTGGAGATGTTTTCACTTTATGTGAAACCTGCTGGCTCCTGTGAGATTTGCAGTTTGCAGTGCAGGTGGTATGATGAATACACTTGCTGTCACACCTTGGGTTTCCTTCTGAACCCTCTGTTTTTCAGCCTGTCATCAGATGTTAGAACCAGCCTGGGCCTCATGTTTGTGGATATTTTAATGTGTGTTAACTGTGGAGGGTCTGCAGAGCCTCCTGGGACTAGAGGCGCTTGGGGAAATAAGAAAGGAAGATTTGGAGCAGGTAACTTCTCTTTCCCTGTCAGTTTCTCCCTGTGGAAAGCTTACTCCTCTACACCGATTCCCCAGCAGGACAATCTCTTAAATACCCGTATAATTTTTTATTAGCGTCTGTCAGTGAAAGGGGGAGTGTTTGGTGAGAGAAGCAACTGTTACCCTTCGTTTCAGGGTCTCTTAAGTCGCACTGCTGGCCTTGGTGTCACTCACAGTGTGCTGGGATGTCTGCCCCAGTGGTAAAAAGCCAAGTGTGAGTTCCCCTCTCTGCCCCTCTCACCTCCCATTTTATTATTTCTTTCCATGTTCATTAAAGCTCTGAAACTGTATACCGTGGATGAAGAGGGTTGAAATAATCTCGTGTAGGTGCTGAAATGAATGAATGGGCAGTGGTAGACCATTCCAGTGGTTTGTGTGTTTCAAATACTCTCACAGGAAATAAGTCATATACTGGGTTTTCTAAATGTCTTTGTGAACCATTTGTTAAAATGCTGCACAGTGCACTGTGTCTAATTATTTGTCTAATTTATATTGTCTATATTGAAATTAGTCAAAGACACAGTATTGTATTATTTCCTTAGCTTTTGGTAGGTTTTGGAGGTATGAAATATGTATCTGCTGGTGTCTAAAGTCATTAAGGAGCAGCAAAACCTTCTGAGAGCCACTGTTGCCAAATCTTTACAATTTCAAGCTTTGAAATGTTGAAGTTCTTAAAGAATGTCAGCTTTTATTTATTTTTAAAAAAAATCTGGTCGTTATGGTCCTGAAGAAGATTTTAAACACACAAAATCCAAAGAGATAAGAAACTAAAGAAAGACCTGAAAAAAGCTTGTCAGGAAAGTTTCTGGAGGTATGAGCCTTGAATTTTTGAAGTTCTGAGGTTGAATGAATGGACTGTTTTCCCCCTGTATCAACTAGGGCATGGTATAACTGCATAGTTTGTTTTTTTCCTTTTTTTTTTTTTTTTTTTTTTTTTTTTGTTTTGTTTGTTTGTTTTTTACTACTAGTTTTTTACAAATACCACATCCAAATTTCTCCTCTGGTCCCCTTTACATTTTCACTGTGGTATTTCTGAGCTAGAGAGTTGCCATGTCAGACTAATCTCCTTACACGTGTTCAGTGCAGGTTTGATGATTCTGCTGCTCTTGGAAAAAAAATCCGTATTCTGATTTTCTTGCTACCCAGCTCAATGTGAGGGAGAGAAGAGGGAGGGGAGTTTTGAACTCTGGCTGGATTCTCAAATGCTGGCTTGTGAACATTCTTTGTAGCCCAGATAACAAAGCTATTAAAATGATAAACAAACGGCTTTGGGATTAAGGCAGAAGAATTATCTGTCTCTTTAGAAACCATTTGTCTCCTGCCTGGTTGACTGGAAGTGTCTGTGTGGTCTGAAGTCAATTTCTCAATGAGTGTTTCAGCAGCTCCACTCAGAGGCTTCAGCCTCTCCTGTAGGCATTTTATAAGTAGACTAATTTATTGTCGTTTTCAAGAGCTAGCAGCTGCCTGCTTAGGTTCAATGAGAAACCGATTGCTGCTCCTGCCCACTGGCAAATCTAATAGCTTGAGACTAGTAAGTGATGAGGGAGCAGAGAGGCAGAGGAAACTTGAGGAATTTGCCCAAAGTCGTTCTGAGGATGAGCAGTAACAACAGGCTAAGCACCTTGGTTCTTGACCTGCAAGCTGGGGCTGTCATCCCTGTATTCATGGTACCTTCTGCTCCTGCCAGGTTATGATGCTGGGGTTTGGAAGACACTGCATTAAATTGTCTGGCTGCAGGAATGGCTTTTTAAAAGCACAGCTGATCCTTGAGAAGAAATGCCAGTGTTAGAAGTGACACCAGCTACTAACTCTGATCCAGTGAAACATTATCTAAGAAAATTTCAACCCCGGTGCTCAGTGATGCCTGGATAATTCATCATTGCTTTAGTCTTTCCCACAGACTGAATCCCTCTATGTGTGCTTTGGAAAGTTAAATAACAGTTAACTGGATAATGACAGTGCAGGGAGAAAGAAATAAAGGAGATAAAGACATGAGAAGACTCCTGAGGAGAACTGGGAAGTGAGAGTTAGTAAACCGAAGAGCAGGCTGTTTTTCAGAAGGATTTGTAGAAAATGTTTTAATCTCAACACAAATAACAACCCAACATGTGGTTGAGCTATTGTTCAAGATAAACTTGAAGTAAAACACCTCCTAACTGAGATTTTTTTAAACTTGTTTTGCTTTAGTATCTCCTTGGAGGGTTTCTAACTGCCCGCTGGGATGTGCTTGCCGTTGCAGGTTCTGAGTCTGCTCCTCCGCGTGGCACCTTGGAGTTTCTAGCTGGCACCATTACCTCCAACGAGTGGAGTTCTCCCACCTCCCCTGAGGGGAGCAACGACTCGGGGGGCAGCGAGGCCTTGGACAAACCCATTGACAATGACGCTGAGGGCGTGTGGAGTCCGGACATCGAGCAGAGCTTCCAGGAAGCGCTAGCCATCTACCCGCCATGCGGCCGGCGCAAGATCATCTTGTCAGACGAAGGCAAGATGTATGGTAAGGAGAGAGAGAGAGAGAGAAAAGCCACCACACGACGCTCCAGACAGCCTGCCCTGTGCCCCAAATCATGCTCTGGGTGAATTCCCTTCTCTCAGGTGTTCCCAGGCTGGTGCTGTTGGTTGCCTGGAGTTGTTATTTAGGAAAATGGGTGTGAAGATTTTGACATTCACGAAACAGAAAGAGTTATAGGTTTCTTTTTCAGGGGACTACTCATAAGATAGATCTCAGAGCTGAGCATGCTACTGAACTAATCTTTACATATAAATATATGGCTTCATGGTGTGACAAAGCCTATTTTTTATGGTATCTCTTGCTGCTATCTTCACTGTTCTTGTTGGGGGTAAGAACAGGTCTGCATGTCTGGTGCTACAGGACAGAAGTTCAGCTCCTGAACCCCCAATGGCTCTGCTGCTGCGCAAACACCTACACTTTGTTAACTACCTACACTTTTCAGATGTTAAGGGCAGAAAGTTCAGTGTACTCTTTTTATTGTACTCTTCATTGTAGTTTGCCTTCTCACAGCCCTGGCACAAGTATCTTTCATCTGTGGATTCTTCTCATCTAGCTAACTAGATACCCAGCCCTGAGTACAGAGAGGCTCTGGCTTGCAGCTGCAGCAGAAGTCAATTTTGTACATGGCAGACATGCTTTTGAATTGGGTTTTTTCCACAGTTAGTATTTCTTTTGATTTTGGTAACCAAAAGCTGGTCTGGCCTGGATTATCTTGCCAAGTGTTGCAAGAAGGCACCTGGTACTTATGTGACTGAAATGCAAAGCAAAAGTTGAATACCCAGTATTTGGTTTTAAGTCCCAATGTAGACAGTTTCTCAAAACACTAGCAAGGATCTTATGGAAGACAGCCCTCTTTCTACCCAGTCGGTGCTCGCTTTTTTCCCCTCCCATACATTGGAATCTGCCTGTCTTCACAGGCCCCATCATGGGATGCTCCTTGCATGCCCCGGAGCTTCCTACGGAGCACTTCACAAGTAATTCTGCAGGTTTCTGTCCACCCATCAGGCCATTGTTCCCTGAGCAAGGGAATGGATTTCTGTGATTGTGGGAGCGTGGGTGGGGTCTTGTTTACATGGCCTTATCTACAGTGGATGGTTTTACTGGGTAACACACATCATTGTACCTGGGAAGAGCAATAGGGTTTGCGTAAGGCTGTTCACCCTGAGGCTAATCTGGGGCCAGTATTCTCAGGCAGACATCGATTCCTGCTCTGAGCTGGCGCAGACACTTTTATGGTTGTGCTATGGAACCAACTGGGGAACTAATCCAGTTTAAAGCTAACATGGCCAGAAAGGGGAAGAGATGTGAACTTTAATTTGGATACTGCCCCGCATCTTGTGCTGGTATTTAGAGAAAGGATGGTGAGACTGGGAATGAGGTTAAAGGAAGACTGCTCCTTTAGGGACTGATGCTTGCTTAAAACGTTACTCTAAAATATTACCTGAGAATCCACCCCACGATTATTAAGCATGCACTAGTGACGTGCCTCTTGTCGCTCTATGTCTGCACTGCTTTTCATGATGGGTGACTTTTAAAATTGCTGGTGAAAAAGTTGTGTTGTAAGAGTGTATTAAATTACTGAACATTTTACACGGCCCCTGAAGTATTTCAGCTTTGAAGAGTGAATGTGTCAGAGCAGAGAGTGAAAGACAAGGAAAGAAATGAGAGCAAAAGTGAAGCACAAAGGGATACAGAAACCAGTGACACTTGGCTGGGCCTGACTTAGCATGGATTAGTGTTGAATGGAACACACCCAGTTGACTGGACTGGTGAACTGCAGAAGGTAAATAACCTTCTTGCCGGGTGAAAAGTTTAGGGTAGGCTCAGGGAGAAGAAATAAAGAGCTTTTCTGCAAGCCTTCCCCCACTACTCCAAATGGGACAGTGTCCCTGCTTGCCTTCAGTGCACCTGTTCCTGGTGTGGATGGTTGGTTCAGTGTGCTCCTGACAGAACCCAGGCACTGATTTATGCCCTCCTTTGCTTACTCCTCTCCAGGATCCAGGCCAAGGAAGCAGGGCCATGTCTGGGATCTATAGAAAGATATGACCGGGCAGGGAGAATAAATATAGTCCCTGATTTCATCTTCTGTGCTCACAAGCCAGCTTGTGGAACGGGGCAGGCTTGCTGTGGAGCTGGCCCTGCCTCTGAAGGGATGGTTATTTATCCGACTTGCACAGAGCTCTGTGAACCAAGGGGTGAGGTGTTACATAGAGCTCTATATGCCCCTTTCCCCTGACAAAACTGGGACCATTTCACTGTTTCTCACTGAGGAGTGGCTCGTGTGGTTATGGACAAGATGTTCCAGGTTTTAGAATTTCTTCTATGTGCAATTTATATGCTTCTCATCTTTTGTGAGGCAACCTGTTGTCAGTTCAAAGTTGGCAGCTTTTAGCTGAAGTGTACCGAGGCAATATGAAGAATTTGTGCTGTTTTGCTGTACAGAAAGTTTGTGTTTCAGCCTCTCCACAGGCCTCATGCTCATGTTTCCGTGCCTCTTCAAAGCTGGCTTCTTTACAGCTCTTTAGACAACATTCTGCTGATTGTGAGTGAACACCATTCCCTCTTCACTCCAAAGTCAGCCAAGCTCTTCTCTGTACACTGATAATCTGTGTCCTGATTCCTCTGCTGCCTTTCCTTTTGTTATCTTTTTCCATTCCAGACATGTTCCATTTCTGCGTGGAGGCAGCATCCTGATTGAGTAAGCTCATGGCACAGCCTGCTCTGGGTGCAAGCCCTGTCTGGCCTTTCCAGCAGGCTTTGCTGACACCTGCTTAAGGCACATGCAGCTGTCTCCTGTGACATGGAATGCTGTCCTTTCTCCTAATCTTTGTGTTGACATTAGAAACATTGAGTTTGGGGCACTTCCTGTTCTGATGACTTCTGGTACCACTAAGGTCTTGCAGAATAATTTTATGAGTCCTGCCTGCTAGAGCACCATGGGGGTACAGTATTACGAAACTGTCATTTATGTTTTTCACCTATGATTTTCCATGGGAGAAATCATACCTGTAGCATTTGTACTAAATAAACTGTCACCGAATTAGGTGTTGAGTGTCTCCTGGCATTTTCAGTACTGATGTAGAGAAAGGAGAGGGAAAAAGCTTAATACCTTTGTGAGATTTTCATGGAGATGCTAAACAGAGCAGGGCTCCCAACATTACTGAGAGCAGAGAAATAAAAAATAGTAACTTGCAAAGTGATACCTTTTTTAGATATTACAAGAGAGACAATAAGATCTTGGAAAAAACTCATGATTACCTTAGCTGTCCAGTGTTCCCTTCCACTGCAGGAACACCTGGCTTGGAGCACCTTTTTGCAAGAGGGGCTAGAATTGGTGGCAGTTTGTTGGATGGCTGTTCTGAAGGAGTCAGTAGCTTAGCAGCTGCTTTTTAAACAGCTCAGCCATTTCTGTGCTGAGCAGGGAGGGGCAGACAGCTGGGGGCAGTCATCCATCTCCCAGGCTGGTGCCATCTGTTTGTGAGCTGCTGATAGGAAATACTTAAATATGTCCAAAGCTTAGAGGCTGAGTGATAGAAGCAGGACAGTCAACCATGTTAGTAGTTAAAACTTGGAGCAGACCACAAAGTCTTGAAGAAAAGCAGTCTTGCTTTTACAACATGACTTAAAATGGGATGAAAGGTCAGTCTGATGCTAAAAGCTGCCAGGTCACAGGTGGTCCCTCCCACCCCTATTCTGAAATGATTAGATAAATTTGCAGGATAATGCCTTTATCTCAAAGGGATAAGTTATCATTTAATGTTCTCCCCAACCTCAAAGACTCACTAAAAGTAGAGCTGAAAAGCAAACGCATAAATCCAAAGAAGCATAAAACATACACTGCCTGTCCTGGATCATAAACACTTTCTTCAGGGGAGGGAGGAGCATGGTTGTTATTTAAAATATGGAAACCTACAAGGTGAGAGTCTTCAAATGCTTTCCTCTGTATTATAGTTTAGCATCTTACCTGGTGATGTTTCAGTCAAATCTATTGAAACGTGCTGAGAATGTGCTCAGTTGACACTGAACTGAATGTTCCAGGTAATTGCAAAATTTCTATTTCAGCTGTGATATGCCTCAGAGTGATCCTTCTGAAGCTCCTATCCCTTCCATTATTATGACCTAGTGAACTCCAGAACAGCCCTTTATCCCATGATTTTGGAAGAAAAAAGGAATCTTGTATTTTAAACACTAGAAGACAGATAAAACTTGGATTAGTGGACAATTGGTCAGGATGCAGACTTTGCCCTCCCCTGTGGTGGTAGGTGTGATGTTTTTTGAGTTGCTTAATAATGAGGTTTTATTTCACTCAGTCATCTTTCAGCTTTACTTTTACGTGGCTCTTGTTCTTTGTTGTCAACTAGACAAGCCAGACTTCTGGAGACATTAGCAGTGGGTTAAACTTCTGCTGGAGCTTGTCATGCTTTTCCTTCCATCTCCTTTGGTAAGCCAAGTTTATGGTTCTTTGTGTTAAGCTGTATGTCAATTTAACTGGTGTTTTCTCCATGCAAGCATAAAAAGAAATATTTTTGCATTAATTCCAAGCATTTCCTAAATATTGAGAAATTTACCACTTTTGAAATGCCAACCCACCAGGAATCTTCTTGCAATTAATAGTAGTGGCTGTGGCATCTTTCCTTGACAACATGCTTAGTACTGTACATAAATATAGTAATAGTCTTATTGTGTACTACATGTTACCAAAATTATTGTGACTTCTTTTGTGAGGGCTTCATTCTGTTGGTTTAATAAAGGGCACAATTTTTTCCTGTCCCTTTTGATTTTTTTTAGCAGCTTTGTAGTCCCATATTTATCTGTCAGGCTTAAAAACCAAGTGAGCTGTGTAGTACTGCATTTTCCCCATTGTATATGTCTGCTTCCACAGAGTTTTTATCACATTTAAGTGACTTCATGGGCAACATTGCATTACCCTTATGGCTCTTCCTCTGACTTTTTAATTTTAAAATTTCAAATTTTTTGTAATTCTC